AGAGGACACAGCACTGCCTCTTTAGAGACTGTTAAAATCCTGCCCATCTCTGCACAGTACCCAGAACTGACTCTGGAGAGCACACGGGCCAGCAACAGAGATATTAAAGGAACTGATTCTGAGAGTGGCCTCACCAGCAGCTTAAACAAGCCCTCATAAAGGAATTCTCAGACCCAGAGTCTGAACACGGACTGATCGCTTCCCTAGACACCAAACAGGGCCGGCATGAAACTCTCCATGCTTACTACCACAGACTTCGACGAGCTTACTTCGGAGCTCACAATTACCCTGGGATGGAGGAGGACACCAGCTTCAAGAGCCTTTTCCCCCGAAACCTCCATCCTATTGTAAGTCACCATTTAGGCATTATGGCCTGCCGCACAATGCCTATTCAACAACTGCGTGACCTGACACAGAAGGCCTTTAACAAGCACAAGGCCTCCACCAAAGGTGTTTGTAAGACCCCACTGATTCTGAACTGCACATCCCAGAATCCAAAGCAGGCACCAGAAGGAACCCAGCATTGCCACAATGCAAGGCCCTTCTACAGAAAGCCACTAGCCAGTGGAGGACAGAGCCGTCACCATGGCAACAGACCCAGGTTCCAGACCAACCACAGGGAGAAGCCATGGAAAAGGCCATCCTCATCCTGCGAACACCACGGTATGTCCAACAGCAGGTCACCACAACATCCTTCTTCACACCCTTCACACAGGTGCCAAACGGATGCTGCACACGGACAGCTGGAGCACCTGTAACTTCTGAGTTACAGGTGCTGCTGACACTAGCAAAAAAGCTCCTTGAACAAAACTCAACTGAGGAGTACTGGGAAGGACAAACTTCTGACTCCTTGCCTGACGCAACACAGCATCAGACCCGTCCAAGGGAGGAGCATCCCTTAAAACCAGTCGACACCCCAGAAGCAGCCAGACAATGTTGGATGGAGCAACGGGCCCACATGCCCAACAGCGAAACCTCTACCAACACAACTCAGGCAAGCTCAAGTCGGTGCCGCTACAAGAGCAAAGCGACACCGCAAACATCAGATTTCTAGTGACGTGTGAGCTACACAGAGGGTTAACAACCACCTGCTGCCCTCCTGGCACCATCACTAGGTCAGTCTGAAACTCTCTGCACACTACAAAATCTACATAATTCCCTGCGACCCCAGGAACCACCTGCACTCTCACCAGTGAGAGTCTAACCCGGCTGTTCCACACCGCGGGTACCACGGATAGCCTACTGGCTAACAACATCATCGCCACCATTACTAGGATGACAGGTGACACAGCCTCGACACCTGCTGCATAAGCTCAAGGACCCGCACCTTGCTAAAGCCTACATCACCACAGCACACCACCTGACAGCATCCACCATGGCACCACAACCACTCCTGGAGGCAATAACAGCCAGAGAGCCACCACTGTCTCCCAGCCATGAGTGGCAGGTGCGTGTCTGATTGTTCTGCACCTTTGACGTCGCTCGCTGTTCTACGGACAACAACGTTCGAAAGGGGGAATATTTGTAGCGGCTGGACCAATCAGACACACCATTTTTCATTTGATTTATCAAATCAATTATTTATTAGATTTATTAGATTAACAAACATTCAGACCCCCTCACCCAATAAACATACTGGGTGCCAAGATGTCTGTGAACGAGGCCCAAGACCCTGGTTACCATGGCAACCATGACACCTTTGCTAGACCAGATAAACTTTTTACGACCTAATGGCATGTTGAGACTCTTTCCTAGAGTTGATATGAACTTACACTGAATGTTCGCTGGACGAACAGATTGGTTGATGGCAATTTAATTCTGCTAGTAGTAATACTGGCAGCTGATATAAATAATTGTAATTAATCATAATTAATTGTAAATATTTGTAGCGGCTGGACCAATCAGACACACCATTTTTCATTTGATTTATCAAATCAATTATTTATTAGATTTATTAGATTAACAAACATTCAGACCCCCTCACCCAATAAACATACTGGGTGCCAAGATGTCTGTGAACGAGGCCCAAGACCCTGGTTACCATGGCAACCATGACACCTTTGCTAGACCAGATAAACTTTTTACGACCTAATGGCATGTTGAGACTCTTTCCTAGAGTTGATATGAACTTACACTGAATGTTCGCTGGACGAACAGATTGGTTGATGGCAATTTAATTCTGCTAGTAGTAATACTGGCAGCTGATATAAATAATTGTAATTAATCATAATTAATTGTAATTATTTATATACATTTCCCTTTTGAGCTAATTTGCTACATCACCTTATTAATGTTTGCAGAGAAATCAATCTGTCCATTTACTATCCACAATTTTTGAAGTTATGTTAAGCTGAATAATAATGGTGTGTTGGCTCAGAGGGCATAATGGGCCTCATTTATCAATCTAACGTAGAACTGAGCGCAGATCCGTGCGCACAAATCAACTTACGACAGAGTTCACATGTGATTCATGAAACATTCGTTTGCTGCTAATCTCATCGTACTAATGATTGCACGTTGATAAATGTGGCGGCAGAAAACAATCGTCATTTGAATATCATGCCCCTAAAAACACCCCGGTTTAGAAGCCTCGCCCCTAGAGTTTACGTCAAGGACAAACGAAACCCGGCCAAAAAGAGGAAGTAATCTCATGAAAGAGAAACTGATCTTACTCCAAAAACACCCGTTAACCTTGTAATTGCAAACAATTAGGCTACATTAATTTATGTAATTTTTATGTATATTAAAATACTGGCAAATATAAACAGCCTATGTAGTTCCCCTCACTCTACAACAAATATTTTAAATTTAAAGGTATTCAGAACAGAACAAGAATGAAAAATAAGTAGTTATAAAATTATATATTAAACTATAAAATAAAACACAAATTAGGCTATAGTGGCATTGATTATAAACAACATACAAATGTCAAGCAAAACTGAAATGGCATTGGGCTCACAAGCCTGTCTCATACCACAAGAATCCAAATGTTTCCATTTTTGCCATATTTGTAACATTTGTTTGCATAACTATTATTCATTATGTAGCCTAAAATGGCTTTATACTTCACTTATGTTCTAATATCTGTGTAAAATCCTTCACATGCGCAAAAATGTTTGTTTGGGCACTGCACACTGATTTTACAGCGGACCTTTTAAATATGATGCGATTTAAATTTTTCCTTTCTCTTTGGAGTGTTACAAGCTCTTGGTGCATAAAGAAGATCTGTAAAGTTGCAAAGACTAAAGTCTCAAATCCAAAGAGATATTCTTTATAAAAATTAAGAGTCAGCCACCTACCTACCTAAAACGGCTCATTCTAACACGCCCCCACATATCTATGTCACTATGTGGGAAGATTTGCATAACGCCGCCCAAATGTTCACGCAAAGAAAAATGTTACGCAAAGGCGTAACTTTTATTCTCGCTGTAGTATTGTTGTTGCCGCCGCCAAGTTGTGAAGGCACTGTGTGTTTCTTTGCGAAAGTGAAACTACTTTGTTTGGCCTTCCAAAAGAGGACGATATCTGCTTCGTCATGCCTGGAGCTGATTCGTGCTGGTTGCTGAGGAAATACAACAACTTTGCACTGTGGATCACCAGATCGGCTTTCACCGTGGACAAAGCGGAGTCCAGGCCGGGGTCGTCACATGTGGTTGCTGCAACCCCTCCGGATGCTCCTTCGTTGAATCCGCTGGCCGCGCCGTTCTCAAGCCCGTTACTCTAGCCCTCCGGCCGTTGCTCACTCTAGGCCGCCTATATTTTTTATATTTAAAGCGAGTTTTTTGGGCAGTGTAGAGTAGCGCTTGTTGTTTGTCATTTCTCCGATCACAAATGTAGACATGGTTTTGTTTACGCGGCGCATAAAAAGGCAGTATAAGTCATTATAATCCATAATTATGTCCCCACTGGATGCAACGAATGCCTCGTTTATAATGGGTTTTCATGTTTTTTAATCATCGTTTCGGCCTGACAGGGCATCATCACAGTATGGTAGGGGCGTAACATTTCCGTCACACGCTTGAGGTATTCGGCCAATCATAATGCACTAGATAGCTGGCCAATCACAGCACACCTTGCTTTTCAGACCAATGAGCTTTATTAAAATCGACGCGTTTCAGAAAGGCGGGGCATAGAGGAGAAACAATAATGTACAGTATGTGGAAAATAATGCTTTTTTAACCTTAAACCGCATAAACACATTTCATTACACCAAATACACAAAATAATGTTCTTTTTAGCAACATCATATGACCCCTTTAAAATAAACAGTGTAACTTTTATGTTTGGTTGACTGCATTTTATTTTGATGATGAATGGCTGAAATGTCAGGCAACGGTAGAACTAATGTTGTTTGTGTGTGTGTGTGAGGCGCCTGTGCGATCAGATGGATTAAATCAAATAAAGATATAAAGAAAATAAAGAAAATGCATTAAAAGTGTCACAAAAACGAGCGTAGCCTATACTTGTTGCAGTTTTTTTCTTCCTTTTGTTAATCTGTTAATTATATTATAGCCTATTATATATTGTGTGTGATCCTATTTATTTTATTCCTTTTATAGACTTAATTTCTGTTTTTCTCCTTTCACAGAAGTGCTGCAGCTGCATGATGCGACAATTGAATCCTCATGGTCTTGTTTATGCTGCTATTTGCGCATTTAAAACTAAAGCCCTGTATAAAAAAAAAAAAAAAAAAAAGACATTCTAATCTTACTGGTTAACGATCGACTAATGAGCTTCGTTTGACGGTCAGGAAAAGAAAAATGAACAAAATGCTGTCATTCTACAATTCTCCACCATATTTACTATGCTGCGAGCAAGTTCAGGTAACTCAAAAACTTGCGTACACGAGCTGAGACCAGATGTGAGATTTGATCGTAGCTTACGTCCATATTGATAAATTCCAAGTTTTGCGTTGAAACGACCGTACGCCTAATTTTCAGTCATAAGTTCATTACGTAAATGAGGCCCATTGTTCTTAAACTCAAGGTGACGTCTCTTACCTTGGTCACTTGAGTTGTGGTTGCTGAGGTAATGTTTTCCGTAGTGACAGGAGAAGCAACAAAGTGTCTTTCCAGACTGTTCAGGTAAGCCTGAAATACAACAATGCGTTATATGTTTTACTGTTAAACAGTTTTGCCCCTCTCCTCTTTGCAAAGTAATAAATAAATAAATATCACACAGACAACTGTACATACAGAACACAATTAGTAAACCACTATTCAGATCCTTTGCTATGACACTAGAAATTTAGGTCAGATGCATCCCATTTCCAAGGCACAGATCTGGGGAAGGCTACAAAACAATCTCCTTCATTGAAGGTTGCTAAGAGTGGCCTTCATTATTCTTAAAAGGAAGAACAATTTTGGAACAACCAGGAATTTCCTAGAGCAGGCCATCCAGAGCAATCAGGGGAGAGGGGTCTTGGTGAATAAAAACCCACTGATAACTCTGGTTGAGCTCCAGAAATCATGTGTGGAACAACCAGAACCCTGTAGTCCATCAGTCCAGAAAAACTGAAAGAAGCATTTGAGCATTTGTACAGTGCTCAGACGCATATTGTCTGCTCATTAACTCACGCGGCACAAGCAGACCCCTGTCTCAGTGCAGCACTCAGTCATGTATGGAACACAAAGGAGTTCCAGTCACTGACTCATTCAGGTGTTATAAGCAGCCGTGCCTTTGAGCAGCGGTCAGCCGTGTATAAATAATACATATGTATGAATCAATCCAGTTTCTAGTTTAAATGGACACTAGAGGCAGGAAAACAGACAACTTTTATTCCTTTTCAGACAATGTATGATTTACATGGCCAGAGTTTCGATTAAGAAAGACAAATTTTTGCACAATTCCTTGCACAATATTATGACTTCAAAACAATTTTAACATGCTGCAAGGTTTGAAAACTTTTGATACTTTGAACTTTAGCATCACATATAACATATGGATTTTTATATGCGAAAACTCCTTTTACCTCAAAATCTTTCTCCTTCACCCAGCTATGCCATCTTCAAGAAGCCTCTTGTTGCTTATATCACATATGGATGTTTTTGTCATGACCTGGGTTTGCTTCTCTGTTTCTCTCTCACACACACGGGATTTCACACACACATACACACACATACATATTCTATCATGCACACACACACACACACACACACACACACTCAGGCAGCCCATGCTCATTCTTGCTCTTATCTCCACCTGTTTGTCATCATAATCAGCGTGCGGGCTGCTTTGCGAGGACACCTGTTTCCACTCTGATCTATTAGTCACTCTATTTCTAGTGGTTGGGTTCACTGTTCTCTGTCGGATTATTGTGTGTCATGCATACGGTATTGTTTGGCCCTTCATGTTGATACTACCAGAGTTCTTACCATGTCTTGTCTTGCTTAGTGTGCTGTGCTCGTCTTAGTGTTCTCTCTGTCCGGTGGCTGCTTCCAGTGAGCCCAGCCCCACGAGCTCTCTCCAAGACGGGAGTCCTCGGAACCAGACTATCCTTGGTCGATTTGTGTTTCATCCAGTTCTGTGTCATCAGACGACAGACTGCCTTGTTTTGTGTCTTCAATAAAGAGACTGATTCTAACTGACTGCCTTTGCACGTGGATCCTTTACAGCACAAGTGACAGTTTTTCCATCCTGATGATCCAATGATAGCTGCTCGCATCTCAGCATGTCTAACAGACATTTCTTGTTGGATGACGGACCATCACCTTCAACTCAACCTGGCTAAGACAGAACTGCTTGTGGTTTCAACAAACCCATCACTTTATCAAAATTTCACCATCCAGTTAGGCTCATGAACCATAACTCCTTCAAAAACAGCTAGAAACCTTGGAGTTGTGATTGATGATAAGCTGAATTTCTCAGACCACATTGCTAAAACTGCCCGGTCCTGCAGATTTGCTCTACACAACATTAGGAAGATCAGGCCCTTTCTTTTAGAACATGCAACACAACTCCTTGTTCAAGCTCTTGTTCTATCCAGGCTGGACTATTGCAATGCTCTCTTGGCAGGTCTTCCAGCCACTTCTATCAAACCTCTACAATTAATCCAAAATGCCGCTGCAAGATTAATCTTTAATGAGCAGAAAAGAACGCATGTCACACCTCTGCTCATCAATTTGCACTGGCAACCAGTAGCTGCTCGCATTAAATTCAAGGCATTAATGTTGGCCTACAAAACTACCACTGGCTCTGCACCCATTTACCTAAATTCATTACTTCAGAGTTATGTGCCCTCTAGAAGCTTGCGTTCTGCAAGTGAACAGTGTATTATTGTGCCATCTCAAAGAGGCACAAGATCACTTTCACAAACTTTTTCATTAACTGTTCCCTCCTGGTGGAATGACCTGCCCAACTTAATTCGAGCAGCTGAGTCCTTAGCCATCTTCAAGAAACGACTAAAAACACATCTGTTCCACCTTTATTTGACCCTCTAACTCTAGCACGTTAAATTCTATTTTAATTCTACTTAATCTATATTTATCTTCTTTTTTTATTTTTATTAAAAACAAAAACAAACACTAGTTCCCTTTCATGGGAACTTCGAACTGCGTCCTCTAGGGGTCGCTATGGGGAATGCCTCGTCGTGACCCGTGTCTAAAGCATACATTGAAAAAACACCAACAACACGTTGGCCGGTGACAGCCATGACATCACTACCGGTGCGACTATAGTATAAATAGGCACCGGGAGAACACATCATCCTCTTCTTCATCTTCATTGACTGTTTTGTTTGAAGCGTGCATTTCTGTGGTAAGAGCGATCTCTATTCATATCATTATGGCGAGCACTAGCAAAGCGTTTAGAGGATGTGTGCATCCGTGTTGTCGTTGTTTAACACGATCTATGCGTTATTTGTTTGGGCGAAGAACACGCACGTGATGTCTCAGAGGGGGCAATCGGCGTGCACCGCGAGCGGTTTTTTCAAGGAAAAAGCTCTGCTCTCGTTTGTCTCTCTTTTCGAGGAAAGAGGGGCAGCCATCTGCTTCCCGCGATTCAGGATCTGCCGCTGCTGAGGCACGGAGGAGAATGAACTTGTGGGGATCGCATGTGGATCTGGCCGATGAGTTTGAAGAGGGGTTTTCCCTCGTGCGATCGTCGGCTGTGGACGAGAGTGAGCTGCTGGAGGATGACGTTATTTCATTAACATTGTCTGTTCCAGGGGCCAGTGCTCTGCTGGAAAGCAGGAAAATGTCTGAGGAGGGCAAAAAGCTGAGGCTGAGCTTTCTCAATCCTCCTACCCTGCGTATGATGAGCTTTGAAAATTATGGATCGCGCCACGGCGAGGCTTTACTTGCCATGAAGCGGGTGAAGAAAATTACATCGTGAGGTCATCTATTTAATAAAAAAAAAAAAAGATGAATGTTATTTTTCTGGCCATAACCCTCCAGCTCAGGTGAGCCTTCCTTTCTTCCTGTTTTCCATACAGAGATTGAGAAGGAATGGAAGAGGCCGTTTTTTCCACAAAAAAAAAAAACACACGCATCCATCGATTCCAGCATGCGAGTTATGCCAACATCGAGGCGATGCGCGAAAGCGGTTATGAGAAGATGCCCCTATAGAGAGATGCTGGCCAGCTATCTCTCTATGGATGAGATGTCCTCTTTTAAGACTCCCTCCTTGACATCTCGCTCTAATGCCAGGGCATATGCAGCAGCAGCAGCAGGTCGGGCTGTCGTTTCATTGCACACGATGGTGATGCCCCAAGCATATCAGGCTGACATGCTGAAAGACCTGGATAAAGGCGAGGGCCTTTCTCCTAACGAGGTAGCTGAGTGCGGGCAAAGGCGCGCTCAGCGGCTTTTACGAAGGTCCAGGTCTGAGCCCGAACAACCCGAGGGGTCCTGGCCCGTCTCGGTTTGAGGATCAGAGACGGGCACAGAACGCTCCTCCCCCGGGTAGGGATAGAATAATCGCGGGTCAAAGGAGGGTAGGTAAAATACCTAAGGGATGTGATCCAGACAGGGCGTCAGTGCTTTGTCCGGATCAGAGTGATACTTCAGTATCTACTCATTTCCTTCGGGGTCTTACATCTGCCCTTTTCTTCCCCTTTCTAATTCCCCTGTAACCACCATCTCTCCACCTGACCGAGGTTAGGTGGGAATTTCCTGCATTACTCCTATGCTGGACCTATGATGTATGGTTGCTTCTATGGTTTCATAGTGACCACCTTACTGATGGTCCGGACCAGAGTATATATGTGTGTGTGTATTTAATGCGCTGGTGGTTGTGTATAATCTTACTGTTAGCTTTCTTTGCAGTGTTTCCCGGGACCTGTGTGTCCTTTTTCTAGGGTAGGTCCTCGATGAGCACCCCCTCTGCTGGGTTCAGAAACCGGGTGTTCGACATGCAATGTTTATTTCACGCGTCGATATATGTCCAGACGGTACGATAAGCAGGGTTTCGGCTTCATACTTCCTGGATTATGCGGCCAGGTCACAGGCTTCTGCGGGAGCCTTCTTGATCATTAGGCCCCCGGCACGGCACTGCAAAGATTTCCTGGACGTCCGGGCTGGGCTTATGCTTTCAGGCTGCCCTGTCTGGTCTACCGTATCTAGGTCGCCCTGAGGGGCCTCCCGATCACCAGGATATCCCATCTTGCTGAGGCATCGAGCGGGAGGTATAGGTGACTTTTGCAAGAACCTTCTTGTGTAATGCTGTCTCAGGCAGTGCTCCCCTCACATTAGAGGGTTGTATTTGAGCTTGCCTCTCCCATTTGGCTCAGTACTTCCGGGTATCTGTGAGCAGATGCTTGGAAAACTCTTAAAATCCATACCATGGTGAGTGCACAGGTTAAGCTTTGCACACTTTCTAAAAATCCACATAAGTGGTAAGTGTGCACGTTATGCTTTGCCCACTTTTCTGAAATCCTGTATGGTAAGGTTACGCGTTATGAGCCTCGTTCCCTTTGTCTGAGTTAGTTTAGACCCCGGTACCTTGGGCTCCACTCGACTAGTGTGTCTCTGTCGACACACTCTGGAAGCATTTCTCCCCTCACCATTGAGGGATATTGTGAGCATGGTGTTTTCTTTAGAGCATTTAATTCTCTCTGATGAGTTGGATTCCTCGCTCCATGGGCTGTTCTCAT